TTAAGAGCCAGCTTGATTAAAGTTTGCTGGAGCCTGTGGGTCTAATTTAATAAAATCCAGAATTATCAGATTCCTCCTCAAAGGAGGAGGATTTAGGCTATAGATAGAATATATTTACTTTAGAAGTAGCAACTCCAATTAAAACTGCAGCAGTTCAAACAGGGAGAGTAACACTGTGATTGCTTTAAAATATAAGAACTCAGCAAAGATGGCTCAAGGCAGCTAAAGTAAGATCAATAACTTCAATCGGCACCAATGTCTCAATCCATTAGCAGACTACCATTTTCTCACTGAAATCCCGCCTAGAGGCTTTAAAAATTCTAGGAAGAATTTTACTCCTCCATTAAAGTGATGGAAACAAAACAATGAAATCACCCAGTGCTACTCAAGTTGGTGGTCATTACCTCATTTCAATTACTTCATCACTACCCGGGCATCACTTAAAACACTTTCAACAGAAGCTTTGTATCTTCTGATAGAAACCACAGAGATTTGTTCCACCAGCAGGTGGAAAGAATCATGGATTCTTTTGATCTAAACCCTTCACCAAGTTGCCTCTTATAAAAGCTACTGTAGAACTCAAGTATTCTAACTTTGCAGTCAATACCTTTTAACTGACTGATAGCAAATGAAAGAATACAGTATTTCTACTTAATTAAATAGCATAACGAAGCAGGATGCCCAACTTTTTTGTTACACAATCATTTCTACACCAGTGCCATGTGTGGTCAGTCACCTCAGTCATGTCTGGTTCTTTGCCATGACCAAAGTGACTGCTCACACATGGCACAGGTTTGGAAGTGATTGTGCCGTATCTTACAGTAAATAGGGAGGAAGGAAAGGAAAAGGGAAGAAAGGGGAGGCAGGAAGGAAAGAAGGGAAAAAGGAAGGAGGAAACTTCAAAAAGGAATAAGGTCTACTATGTTTTAGGTTTTAGTAGTTAGTTGCTTACACTAGGTGATTCATTCATAAGGAAAACATTTCCTTCATAGTCATCTTAAGTCAGAAAAAAAAATTCTTGCTAGAGACACAATGCACTGCATTGAGAGTCCTTTCTTTGTGCCGTTTGATTACTGGAAAAGCTCATCTTAGGACTAAAAATGATCTACAACAGTACAGTGTTTTATCTAGTGATTGTACAACTGAGGATAATGAAGTTCTGGCTGTTCATATTTTTGTGCACAAATTATCATATCTTAAGGGAACAATCATCAATTCTCTTAATTTCCCCTTCTCGGATTATGACTGTAACACCTCTGTTTCTCAAACTCCATGTAAAAAACAAAAAAAAAAAAGAAAAATTCAGTCGATAATCCAGATGCTTTCAATCATTTTATGGATAAATTACTGTGAAGATAAAGCACCTGGGTAAATGACAATTCATCTATTACCCAGAATTATGAATCATGTAGATACAACTTTCCTATATAAACTAGCAAGACCAATTTCCTTCATGAAAGCACTTCATGTTTACATTATTACAATCCAAAACAAGGGTTTAATGCTCCACTGGTGCTGAACAGCGACAACTCTTTATTAAATGCCCCTACAAGGAGTTGATCTATTCCTGGATTTTTTTTTTTACAGATTAGTTCACAGATTTAGAATCTTAGGTGTTATTTAAATCAGACATCAGAGAGTGTTGATACTAACAGATCAAAAGAGTCACTAGAAATCTGTTGTTGCTAATAAAAATTTCTCTTGAATAACAACAAAAAAAAATGCTGCTGCTGCTGAGATGCTCAGTCATGTCCAACTCTTTCTGACTCCACAGACTGTACCCCACCAGGCTCCTCTGTCCATGGACTTTTCCAGGCAACAATACTGGAGTGAGTTGCCATTTCCTACTCCAGGGGACCTTCCCAACACAGTGATCGAACCTGCATCCCTTACATCTCCTGCACTGACGGGCAGATTCTTTACCACTAGCGCCACCTGGGAAGCCCAACAAAAACAATGGACTGACTGCAGAATGCCTTCTTAGAATCCAAGTCACAGGAACTAATCAATTTTCACTCATACATTTTAGTTACTTAACATATCCCTTATTAATTCCAAATTATACACCATGGTTTCTTAACAGCTCATTTGTATACATATATTAATGTAATCAGAGAGCAAATTCATTAACTATGCATTGTATCTGAGGCTTGTAAAAGTGTATGATTGTATAAAATAATATCAATTTCTAAGTCAATAACAAGTAAGAACAACCTTGTAGAAAATTTGAAATTTTAAATAAAGAAAAATTTTCCTTTGGTGAAAGATTAACCCTCCTCGAAATGTTATCAGGTTTTTAATGACGTACCTCTTGAAGAAACACACACCATCTATTTGATATGCAAAATATTAGGAAACTCATAAATGTGCTAGAAATATCAAATATTCTCTTCTTTCTGAGTTAATAATAACCCATAAAGTGTTTACCTTTTCCCCTAGTGATCTGATATCTGAAGAAAGGTGAACAGTTGCAAACATTAAACTTTAATATCATTTTCAATTATTTACCACAACATATATCATTGAAAATAGTGAACTAATTCCTTTTATGCCAATGAATAAAGATTCTAACTAAATTTTCTGTTAGTTGCAGACACCTGCACCACCTAGGATGAATTTTTTTTTTATGATGATCAAAACCACTAAACTAGCTAGTTATCTGAAAGCGAAAAGTGAAAGTGTCGGTTTCTTAGTCCTGTCTGACTCTTTGCAACCCCATGGACTGTAGCCCACCAGGCTCCTCTGTCCATGGAATTCTCCAGGCAAGAATACTGGAGTGGGCTGTCATTCCCTTCTTCAGAGGACATTCCTGACAAAGAAATTGAACCCGGATCTTCTGCATTGCAGGCAGATTCTTTTTTCTTTTTTTTTCAAAATCAAAATATGTAAGCCTTTATTCTAGGACCACTTCCAACTTGGTCTTTTTTTTTTTTTTTAATTGGAGGCTAATGTAGGCAGATTCTTTACCTACCATCTAAGCCACCAGGGAAGCACAGCTAGATACTTCCCCACCTACATACCTATCCCTATGTATGTATTTGTGTACTCAATTGGATACAGTATCAAAAGCTGTAAAAATAAATGTGGTGGATGGAAAGAATCAGTTATTGTTCGTAGAAATTCATGATGTTTTCCACAGTAATGAGCAGCCATTCAAAGCTGATTAAGGTGACAGCACACGGACATAATGTGGTGATTAATTCCCTCTGAACGATACATTAAAGAAAAACCGCAAACTCTCATGGAACTCAGTACTCACCAGAGACCTCTTATGCATGTTTCTCAGGCTTCAGTGAGCTTTTCTGTAAGCCTGGATTCACTAACTGCATACATCTGCACGGGCTATTATGTGCAAATATCAACATGAAAAAGTAAAGGAATCATAATTTTATTTATGAGCGCACTGGTTTCCTTCAGCAATCTTCAGCATAGTCACCTTTAATGGAGCCAGGGGTGGGGGATGGAACTCTTCTGCAGGTATTTGTATAAGGTCACTTGTATATTGGAAACAAATTTCATGTTGACCAGGAAAGGAAAACCATCATGGAAAGCAATCGTAAAGGTAATCAAATATTTTCCTCTTTATGCCCAGGAAAATAACTGTTGGAATTTTCCTGGTGAATAGGAGATGCATCAAGTCTATAGTCACTCTTCCATACAAAGCAGTAATTCCTCACTTGTTTTTATATGTATTTTACACAGAGCATTGCTTTCTCCACATTCAATCTTACCTTTTTTATTTACCAAATAGTTACAAATCTGAATTTAGATAAGAAATTTCTTTCTTAGCAAATCAAGTTAGAATAGAACCTTTCTTTCTGATTTTCATCTTATTTAAAGAACATGTATTCTTCTCTGATCATTCATTTTATATTCCAAATTACAAAGAATATAGAAAACACAATTTTTCCAAAGGAGCAACATCCAAGAAGGTAACAGAAAAAGTATAATTAATCAGAATCAAAGAGTTCTAAATATTAAACACTAAACTTCAGTTTTCGTCTCTCAGTCTTCTAGACTGAGTCATTTTAAAATGAGATCTAATTTTTGCAAAGAAATTTTATTATTTTAATGCAAATTTGACGCCCTGCCTAAAATATTCAGAAGATGTAAATTCTAAAAACACTCATATACAACCGTTGATCTAATTAGTTGAACTAAGTAGGATTGAACTGAAATATATCCATATGAAGGCTACAAGGCTCTCATAACTCATAGCTACTTTCAGTGAGCCAGATGGCAAAGCCAGCAAAATTGCTACCTTCGGTGAAAGGGAAAACAAATTCCAGATGAACTACTTACTCGCACATATGTACACAATCATCCCTCAAAAGAAGTTACCAAACTTTTATTCTGTCCACTTAATATGACAAGTTGTTTCCCAAGGATCAGTCAGTGGGAGGAAAATACAGAATAAATAAGTAAATAAATAAATTACACATATAATGATAAGTGTGTTGGAGAAAAATACATTTGTCTGTCGAGTGCTGAGCAGAAGATATTTGATCCTAATAAAGGACCAGAGAAGCACAGGAAATTCTATCAAAGAAACTGTTTTTAAAAGGTACTCTTGGAGCAGTTATAGGAAAGCTAGGTTACAGGAAAGCAGAGAGAACAGAGATGAGTGATGACGATAATTTCAATAAGGGTAGATGACCATGTGGCTGCTGCAGCTCAAAGGCAATTGGAGTGCTGACGGTGGGATGAATGCAAAGGAAAATCTAAGATTTAGTGACTCACCAGATATATGAAACCAAGAGGATGAGAAAGCAGAAGAGGTCTCAGGGCTTTATTTCCAGGGTCAGGAGAACGATAGTATCAATGTAATTTAAAAAGTTTTTTTAACAAAAAGATAATCAGATAACTGCTTACTTCTACCAAAGCCAGAACCGCCTGATTGCTGTTTGTGCCTGATGGTCACAATTCAGAATTTCCTCCCATCCCTGCAGTGTTTCTCAGCATTTCTGCAATATTTATGTACATGTTTGGAAAATTCTCACCAGTTTGCCACCAGTGGTCTAGCACAGGTACTCTGAAGACCTTTTTGGACCATTCCAGTGTCTCCACGTCACATCGTTCTCCAGCCACAAATAGTGTTTTGAACCTGAGTATTAGAGGGAGAGTGAATTCAAATTATTCCTTGAAAAAAACTGAAATAATTTCAGTTTTTGCCTTCTTTTAAACACTGTAGAATCTAATCACATTAACTCTCAGAGGAAAACACCGTAGAATGGTTGTAGAATGCAGGCATCATTTGTGTGGACCCAGCATGCTATGTAGTACTTCACTCCTGTCTGCCTCTTTGTGACTCTATGGACAGTAGCCCACCAGGTTCCTCTGTCCATGGGATTATCAGGCAAGAATACTGGAGTGAGTTGCCATGCCCTCCTTCCAGAGGATCTTTACAACCCACAGATTGAACCCACGTCTCTTAAGACCTGTGCATTGGCAACTGGGCTCTTCATCACTAGCGCCATGCAGGAAGACCCCAGTATAACTAAATGCATATCACAGCACTGGAAACGCTTCAGAAGCAGAATTCACAGCTATAGCTTTTCAGTTTTGAGAAAAGCAACTGAGTTGATCTTTGTAATATATCTGTCATATTCATCTAATAATCAAAAATGAAAAATCTTTTCCTCCTTGACATTACCTCTGCTAAATTTAGCTCCAGATTTGATTGATGTATTCTATTTAAGTCTATGCACAAAAATATAGAGTATCAGCGAAGGCAACAAATGTGCTCATAGATACGATGCACTTGCTCCTTCTCATGAGTTACTTCAATAAACATTACTCTGATTTCAACATATATTTCTCCTATTCCAAGGACATATATAGGAAAGGTAGGTGATTTTAAAAGAAATGGCATTGTGGCCTTCCAGGATAAAAAGGCTGTTATCAAAAGGAATAAATGATTACTAAGAGATGAACAATCCTTTGCAGGGAACACTATGCCACAGCGTAGAAAGGATGAAATAGAAAAGAACAGAATTGGGTTGACACCACTGGTGGTTCATTGAGAGAATGACTTTTTTTTCTTCCATTCTCAATGCTCCATGGTCTGTCTGTCAAAACAAAGAAGGTGTGTATGAAGAGCTAATTCACTATCGTTAAAATAAAAACATAAATAAATAAATACAAATCAAATGTAAAAACCTGCCTACCCATCCTGTACAATGTAGTATAGCCATAAAAGATTTATCATTCCCTTATTTCATAAAAATCTCATGAAGATTCAAATATTCCCACACAGTGCTCCACAACTATGGAGCCTCTATGCTGCCTCCGCTACAAACATATATCTCATTCTATAATTTCTTGCCTCTTGTTTATTTCTCACAGCTCCTTAGGATCATTCATCTTTATGACATCAATACCAGTCAAAAAGCTGAGATTTTTAGATACTTAAAGTTTACGCAAACTACATATATATTTGCAATTCAAGCAAATATATTACCTAAAATTACCTAAAATTTAGGTAATCAAATATATATTCATTTATAACTTGCTTGAAATTAAAATCTGGATTATCAATTATAACCTCATCAGACAGAAATGTTATAGCAGGATGAAATAAATAGTAACACATTAAGCTATTAAAGTAGGCTAAAATATAACAAATACTAAAGTTTTAAAGTTTAAATACGGTTTATACATCTACAATTTTAGATGCTATATAAAAACAAGACAAAATAAGGATATAGACGCCTTACTGTTGATAATCTTATGACTGAAAAATATGAACATATTTTAATTGTATCTTTTTCAAACTATCAAAACATTTTTTAAAAAACTTCTGTGATTAAGTATACTATACGTTTCTAGGGTAAATGAGGAGCAAGAAACCATCTGGAGACCCAGTCCTGGGCCTTGTCACAAAGGAGCTTATAGAACTTTCTAAAGAATTTGGATTTCATCCTGAAGGTGGTGAGAGGCTAATTAAAGCCAATTAATGTTTTTCAGCAGGAGAGTGGCACAATGAGGTTTTTGGTTTAGAAGACATCACTGGCAGGAGTGGGGAGGATAGGAGGAAGGTCAGGGCAGGAGCCCAGGGGCCCCGGGTTTGGGAGGCTATTCCCGTCACAGAGAAGTGGTGAGCCCTGAACCCAGGCAGCCCCGGGGGGAAAGGTGGAGGTGGAGACGGCGGATTATCTGAGAGGCCTGAGCAACAGGACTTATCACCACTGACAACTCGCGTTTCCTTGAAAAGCCTTTTAGAAATATTTGTATGTCCTTGGAAGAAGAAAAACCAATACATAAACAAATGCCAAACCCAAACTTAAAAATACCTGATCCTAAATCAAAGTAAAATTCAAGAAAACAGGATTAGAAAGAAAACACAGGTATCCATGACAAATCATAGAAGCAAAAAAGGCTAAATGAAAAGGTCTACTATTCACTGTTTCGGAGCTGCCTCAAACCATACTAAACAGACACCTTTAATGACTGATCATGGACACTTGCTTCACAATTTAGATTAACTATACAGAATCATATTGCTGTTCTATAATATTACAGGAAATTTGAAGAACAGAAAGAACAAAGACGGCGGATTATCTGAGAGGCCTGAGCAACAGGACTTATCACCACTGACAACTCGCGTTTCCTTGAAAAGCCTTTTAGAAATATTTGTATGTCATTGGAAGAAGAAAAACCAATACATAAACAAACGCCAAACCCAAACTTAAAAATACCTGATCCTAAATCAAAGTAAAATTCAAGAAAACAGGATTAGAAGGAAAACACAGGTATCCATGACAAATCATAGAAGCAAAAAAGGCTAAATGAAAAGGTCTATATTCACTGTTTCGGGGCTGCCTCAAACCATACTAAACAGACACCTTTAATGACTGATCATGGATACTTGCTTCACAATTTAGATTAACTATACAGAATCATATTGCTGTTCTATAATATTACAGGAAATTTGAAGAACAGAAAGAACACATACAGGTATATGTACCTACTAGAATTTCTGTTGTATTTTTGCCATTTATGACTATAGGAGGTTTCAAGCATGATTTTCTTACTAACCAACAGAGTAGTTTTTTTTTTTTTTTCCACTGAAAGTGTAATCATATTCTAGAGCATATAGTACCTTTTCTACCTTCTTTCTTTGTAACAACACAAGTAACAGAATTTATTAGTCTCAAATTTTTCTTTAAGAGCAGAAGTAAATATCCAACTGTCTGATGTCTGAAAAAGAATATGCATTTAGATAATTTGTGGTGAAATGTATGAAATGAATAGGTTTGGCTGATTCTAATACTATAGGCAAAGAACAATAAAAAGGAAGTACTTTATGGACATCAGAGGCCACATTCCCATCATCTATCAAGCCACAGATGGCTTCAAAAAGCTCTACAAGATCCAGATAGTCGTGTGTTTAGTTTATATATGAAGCTTAAGAACTAGAATTTCAAGAGTATTTAGTAATGAAAATGTAATGTAAAATACAGTCATTGAAAAATGTTATCACACAATACAAAATAATCTTTTGCCAATCATGGGGCAACTAATACCTTAATATTACCATCATTTTTTAAACTTTTAATTAATTTTTTGGCTTTTTTTCCCTAGCCAAGTAAACTTCAACTAACTTAATTGATTATAATAATAAAAAAAATCATGCATAGCATTGATTCCTTATTTCATGATAAATTTCAGCCTTATGTATCTTTAAACTTATTATTTAATATTATGGTTTATATTATAATTCTATTGTCTTTTTACCTTTTAATTATACATTATACATGATGGCAATCTTCATAATGGCACTAATAAGCAAAATAGAAAGGTATAATATTCAACAAACAATAGTAAAAGTGGTGTTTGCCTTCTCTGCAAGTCAGAAAAATCCCCTCCATTTTCATTAAAATCACCTGAGTATTTACCAAAAGCAGAGGTAAAATTTGGGGTTCACTGGTAATTTAGGGACTTCCTTGGTGGTTCAGATGGTAAAGAGTCTGCTTGTAATGCCGGAGACCTGGGTTCAATCCCTGGGTTGGAAGAATCCCCTGGAGAAGGGAATGGCAAGCTACTCCAGTATTTCTTGCCTAACAACAAATAGCATAGATGATCTCTTCTCCCTAAATACACTAGAAACTATCTACATTTGTATTAAAATTCCTAAAACTGCCCCAAAGTTACTCTTTTTATCAATTATCAACTTCAAATTATATAATGAGTATAAACACATTATAAACAAAGGTAAAATTCAAGAATAAGACATAACTGACAGAACAATTTAAAATCTTTTAATAAATATTTAATCCAGTATTATTTAACTCCTAATTCCTCATAATAAACAAAACCATACTATATAATTTTATATTTTTAAAACCAAATGATTACTTAGTATAAATCTATAATGGAAAGACAAATTATAATTTAAAGATAAACTCATGCCTAAGGGCAAGAGTTGTATTCTTATTTTTTAAAGGATATTTAGTCCTTTAGATCTGCAAAAAAGGAATATTAACATTTTCCAACAGTGAAATTTCTCATTAATGACCTTGCCACTATTTTATTAATATTACAAACAGATGAACGCCCATTTTAAAAATTCAAAAATATATTTTTATTTAAAAATTTATAAAAGTGAAAATTAGCCATTTTTTCACAGTTATGTGGACTCTCTGGAGAGTAAACTTACTCATATTAATTATATACATCCTGTCTCCGCACTGTACAATAGCTACTATCTCTGGCTATTTAAAATTTAATTTAGTTAAAGTTGAAAAAATGAAAAATATCAATTTCTTTACAGTAGTAACCCTTTGTCAAGAGTTCAGTAGTGACATGTTGCTTTACTATACTGTAGATATCAGTTTTACCGGATAGCGCTGCCCTAGATTGGTATAGAGTAATTCAATATATGAGAGACACTCTGATGATGGCAACACATGAAAAGATGAACCTACTTCCAAATGTGTAACACTAAAAGGATAAACAAAATGACAATATACAGTATCTAGAACAGAAAAATGGAGAGAGAGATGAATGGGAATGAGACCTATCCATCTTTCCTCATTTCTATATAAAATCAAGCACAATTCAACACTCAAATGAAGTTGAAAATTAAGCAATAAGGGAAAGAGT